CACGGCACGGCACTTGCTCTCGATGCCGCTCGGCGCTGTGGTCTAGGGCGCTTCCACTTGCGGTCTCGTGGCCTCGGCCTCTGCTTGCTCTGCTTGCCTTTCCATCTCCTTGGGTTCAGGGCAGGGACTCTTCGCCTTAGATGCCCTGCTTTCAGAAGCCAAGTGACCTCCCGCTCGGCTTGGGCTTGCCGCCTTTTTCGGTCCTCTTCTTCAATCTCCAACCTCGGGATGGACAAATTCAACGGGTCTTATCAAGCCTTCACAACAGATCTCAACATCATGCTCGACGTTGCATGCAAAGGGACCTTATTCGGTCTCTCGCGCGCTGCTCCTTGGCTTCCTCGTCCTCTTGGGCCATGCGCGTTCGCTCCTCGGGAGGGTTCCAGACTTGCGGACCGTGTACAGGCAGAACCAAACCCGGGCCATGGAGCTCTCTGTAGCTTTTTCGCGGCATGCTCTTGGACGCGTAAGTCGTTGACCTCCATTCCTGATTGTTGAACCCTCAACCACAACCGAGCGATCAGTTTGTCCCACACCGGCCTGCTCGGTCAAGCACGAGCAGAAGCCGCTCCTGCGTCTTCTTCCTTGGACAGAACCCCATCTATCGAGAAGAAGTGAGAAGATTAAGAAGTGATCTTGTGAAGGAACCCGGTCTCTGCCACAGAATCCAGGCGTCCGAAACTTTCGTGTCCGCTTCTCCTCCTTAGCCATGCCGCGGCGCTCGTCGTCCTCGAGCTGGGCCAGGTAGGCCGCGATCTGCATGACGGCAACACAGCCATGCATCTGAGATCATTCTAGTTTGTTCCCAACAGCCGCAGCCGAGGGGAACTCTTTTTTCTGGCTTCTTGTCTTCGCCATGCTTATTTGGAGATGTGCTTGGCCTGCCTGTCCTCACCATGCCTACCCTACCGCCTCCCCGAGGTGATACAAAAGCCCGGTCATCCGCAATATCTTCAGCTGTGGCTGCGGCCATTGTGACTGCCCTGGTTCCGTGCTCGTCTGAACCCACGCAGACTTGATGGCAATGTGTATATCCCGGAATTTAACTCACCAAACATGCGGGCAGAGCCAGCAGATGGGCCTCCTTCTGCCTCTGCTCTTCCCAGCGCATGTCTTCAAGGTTCTGTATTTCAAGCCTGCGTGGTTTGGGGCTTCGCCGGCGATTTTCTGGTTTTGTCTGCAGCTGTGCACCAAAGGCGAAACAATACACGACAGCTTTGTCTACGGCCCATAGTCCAATGTCCATAAGACGCGTACTTCCAAGCCCAACAGCAAACAGCAAAGCCCACAGACCTTACCGTTGCATGTCCACCGCAGGTAGGTTACACCCTTGTCTCTGCGATCCTCTCCCACTGCTGCGATCTAGGCCATTATAAACCAATTTGAGGCAACAAGGTCGCTGGGTCGAACCCGTCGAGCGCAGCGGTCAAATTGGGTTGTTGTTCCGTGTTCGGCTATGCTGTTTCCTCGAGTTACTGGGGGTCGACTGTGGCTGAACGCTGCTGTCGCTGGTGTCGTGGAGGAGGATGTGCTACGTTGGAAGAGAAAGCTGTGGTTTGCAAATCATAGATGGAGATCCATCTCTCCGCTGTCGAGCACGTCAAGCACTGACGGCTTTGACGATCAGTTCACACAAGCGTGCTGGGCGAGAGATTGCACATGGTCCTGGTTCCTTTCAGCCAAATCGCATAGAACCAATAGAACTTTTACGCTGCCGTGACGCTGCTCCTGATAGATAGTGTCACCTGGTGTAGATCATGTCTATATCTCCATCCTAACATTGCGTAGGAGAATTGCCGTGCGACGTAAACAGAAGGCAGGCATACAGGACTGGGCAAACGGAACCAGGTAAGAAGGCCAGGATGCCTGCACAGTCAGGTTGGGTTTCGAAGGTTCTGCAGGGATTATCTCAACCTGGGGGAGGGGGCCTCCGGAAGTCGGTTCTCGACATCCTTTTCCTCGCCTTGCCCCCCGTCCCCCCCCTGCCACCACGAGAGACACTCACTCTTCAACTGGTCCACAATGGTGCTACCAGGTAATGCTTGGCCAGGGAAACCGACATAGTCTTACTTGCTAATTTAGGCAGCTTAGTACTCGCTACTTTAGGCAGCTTAGTCAGCCTCATCAAGTCTATGACACCGGAAACCTTTCCTTCGATTGACCATTTGTTGCTCTGCTAGCTTGGAGCTCAGGCGCTGCGAGGCGAGTTCTTCGACTTGTCGCATCCGCTGCTCTTCCGAGGCCATGCGGCTCAGCTCCAGCTCCTCTTTTTCACCAAAGTCACTGAGACTTTGCGGGGCGTGGGGGCTTCCAACTTCAGCTTTCGTTTAGAGCAGAGCATGTGTATTTCCGCGCAGTCCTCGCTTTCCAGTAGGCTCTGCAAGTACTTGCGCATCATCTTCTCTTCCTGGAGCTCAACGCCAAATTCCATCATAACAAGCGCGCAGTCTTGATGATCTCTCCAGGTCAATGCGTCCTTCTGCATGCGCTTGAGCTCCTCCTTTCGTAGCTTCTTCCTTGCGTGGTCAGGGGAGTCTTAGCACAATGTACGCACGCGCGTGAAACTTTACGTCAAGCTGGCTCTCACAACTACTCCAGTTGCAGCTTTGCTTCAGCTGATCCTTCTCGATCCTCGGCTGTTTGACACACGCACACAACAAGCGCCACATGGCCTACCTTCTCTCGTATTATTTCGAAGGATCTTGGGGACAAAAAGCAGCTTGAACGTGCAGGCGGCAGGCTGGAGGCGGCTGATTTCAAGGAACTCGTCGTATTCTCGTTGCAGCTCCTCCTCCCTCTCCATGGCCTTCAAGAGCGAGTGAGTGAGTGAGTGAGTG